AAGAGAGTACCTAGCACATTTACATTCAGATGGGGGAACACACGCAATAAACTAATGGGGCAGGTTCTACTAAGGACATAAATGGGGGCAGAGTAACTGGGCCAGGAAGGGCCTCTCTAAAGAGGTGACCAAGTAAAGACATTAGGAAGTGACAAATCCAGCCCTGAAAAGAGCCAGGAAGGGGTATTCTAGAAAAAAGAAATGTAACTGCCACATCTCCCAGGCAGAAGAAAATGGCTCCAACTGAGGAGAAAGAGGGCTGGGCAAGGCGAACACTGGGGAGAAGGTGGGGAGGCAGGCTGAAAAGCAGTGCGGGCTTGAGAGGCCAAGGGGGGAGGGATCTGGATTTTATTCAAGTGCTGCAGGAAGTCACTGAAGGATGTGATCGGGGAGGGATATGACCAACTCTCTAAGACCTGGCTCAGATCTTTCCCTCCTTGATTTCTTCCCAGAAATCTCAAAGGCAGGGCCCCAGAACTCTGGCCACCGTGCCTCTCCCCGGAGGATGACATAGCCTGGATGTCAGGATGCTCCCCTATGACCTTCACTGCCTCGCCCAACTCCTCAGTTGGCCTAGAACCATCCCTGTCAATACCCAATTCCAACATGCCTACCATTCTGGTTACGACTAGACATGCATCACTCTCAGGTCAACCCTCACCCTATTCGGGTCTGTGCGCCTTTAATCCCGTCTCACCTCCTACCCATCCCTGAACACCAACAGCAAACCTCCCTATGTCCTCACCCTCTGCTCTGATCATCCTCTCGCCTTCCTGCCAGGTTTGACATTTGGTCTCCAGGGCCAGCGCTCTCCCCTGCACCACTTGGACAGGCAGTGAGCTAGGTGTCTTCCCCTCCTCACTGCCGCTTCCGGCCCTTCCTCCTCCCTAGAGACACCTGCTTTCAAGTCCTGCATCACTCTGTGCCCTCCACTACTACTCGCTGCATACCTACTCCCTCTGGCTCACACCTCTCCTCCTGTGAAGGCCTCTGTATGGGGCTCACTGGCATCTCCCCACCAATTCTGTTTCAATTCATGGTGGTTTCATTAGTGGTGTAAACAATCCTTTCAAAACTCGAAGAGTCTTGGTTCCTTGACCTTTTTTCCTCCAATGATCCAATTCTCCCCCGACCTCAGCCAAACCCCCTATCTAGTAATAATAAACATGCCATAATCTCAGTAGTCTCTATAATCTCAATTTCAAGTATTCCTCTTTTGGACCAGCACTGCCACCTTCCGACATCTCTAGCTACCCACGACCCATGGGTCCTACCGCACCTCACCTCTCCCCACACTCCCTATGCCCTCACTGCTCTCCTGTGGTCACTCCTTACACACATACACAACTCCTTCACCTTCTGTCCTCCTGTGTTCACCAGGCAAAACTGAACTCTGGTTAACCAAATTCTCTGCCCTGTGCTCCTGCTGCAGTATGTGGCTGAAGATAAATTCATAACTATGCTGACTGTCACTTATCCTCAACAGGTGAGGCCTCAGGATGCAAGCAGGGCTGCTGTCTCCCTTATCCATTCCCTCTCCTTCAGCAACCACTTCAGACCTTCTCTTTGAACTTCCAAGACCCACCTCCTCCAAACTTCCAGCTGGTAGCCTTATTTCCTATTTCAGAGAGAACAAGTAAGGGATCATGAAAACCATTCCCACATGCTCCAACCACTGCATCTGCACCTGTGCCTGGATGCACTCTGGGCCCCGCCTCCCATCAGCCTGTGCACATTCATCCAGACCGCACCCCTCCCTGTGCGTCAGATCCCACCACTTCCAAGGCGCTCCTGAATAGCCCCCTAGCAACAAGCTCCTCTGGCCTGACCACCATTTTCCCTTTCCTGGACCATTCCCAGTGCACAGAAACATGCAGTATTTTCCTCGGAAAAATGACATGTTCCCGACCCCACTGCGTCCTTCAACTACCACCCACTTCTTTGCTCTACAGGAAAAAATCACTGAGATGGCCATACCGTCTCCATCTTCTCTTACTATTCTCCCCTGACCTCAATCAGGCCTCTGCCACCATCCAGCCACCAAGACTGCTCTTGAGGAAGTGACAACTTCCTCGAGATAACCTCCACAGGTAATCTGCTCTTAACTTCTGAGACCCAGCAACAATACTAGGTCCCCTCCCCTTCCTAAAGCACTCTCTTCCCTGACTTTCTGGGGCATCCTACTCTCCTGGTTCTCCTCCTCCTCTCACCGCTCCTCTCAGCTGTCTTTGCTGGCATCTGCTCATCCTCTAGACCTCTACACACCAGAGAAAACCACAAGTTAAACCCCGGACTTCACCTCTTTCCTACTTGATGATCTCCTTTCTCTCATATTTCCTCCCACAAACTCTAGAGTCTTACATCCAACTGCTTTCCTGACATCTCCACTTGGATGCTACCTGGATCTCAGACTTCACATCCACACCGAAATGATTTTCCTCCCTGAAGCTGCTCCTCCCACATTCACTGAATGGCAGCTCCACCTCTCCAGATGCTCAGGTTGAATGCCATGAGGCATCCTTGGCTCCTCTCACTCTGACACATGCAATCCATCAACAGCGAGGCCTGCTGGCTACACACTCAGAACATTTACAGAATCTGACTACTTTTTGCTTCTTAAACAGGTTTTTTTTTGCTTTTTAAACCACTTCTATCACTAATTTGAGGCACAGTCCTCTCTTGGCAGGACTGCTGTACTTGTCTGCAGCCCAGTCTCTAACCATGCCCCTATAGCTTGTTCTCCACAGAGTAACCAGAGTGATCTTTTAAAATACAAATCCTTTAAAATACCACCACTCTGCTCAAAACCCAAAGGCTTCTTGTCACGCTCCCAGTAAAGCTAAAATCCTTTCTATGGCCTATGAGAACCCTCACAATTGAGAATTCCGCTTCCTGCCTCACTTTCTCCCTTGAACTCGTCCCTCTTTTTTGCCCCCCTGCTCCAGGCCCTCTGGCCTCCTTACCGGCCTTGAACATGCTGGCCACACTCCACTCAGGACTCCGTATCTGCCGTGCCCTCTGCCTTGGAGGCTCTTATTCACAGGATGCCCAGACATCCCAGTAGCTCTTCTGAGCTATGCTCATATGGCACCGTGGCAGGGAGGCCTTATCTACATAAATGGCAACCCCAAACTCCTCAACCTGCTCTGACTTTTCCTGCGGCTGTTTGACACATTATATACTTACTTGTCTGTTCACTGTTTCCTCCAGTTAAAATTTAAGTTCCACGTGAAAGACTTCTTTGTGCTGGTCACTGTTATTAACACCTGCATCTTGAACTATGCCCAAATATGTAGGAACCTGAATATTCGTTAACGAGATCATGTCCCCTGAACTCACGGCGCTTGTATATAAAGCCAGTTACTCTAATCTTTGATTACTTCTCCACATATCTTTCTCCCCTCTAGACAGTGCGCTCAAGGTAAATGATGTCACCTTCGCATCTCCAAAGTTTAGAGTAGCACGATCCAACAGAGCTTTCCGCAATGCAAATGTTCTGTATCTGCACTGTTCAGTAAAGTACGCTTCAACCACACGTGCCTGCTGACCACGGGAAACGTGGTTGCTGTGACTAAGGAACTGAATTTTACGTTTTATTTAATTGTAGTTAATTTACATTTAATTGAGCCAGGCGCGGTGGCTCAAGCCTGTCATCCTAGGTTTTTGTGAGTTCAAGATGGGCGGATTACTTGAGGTCAAGAGTTCGAGACCAGCCTAACATGGTGAAACCCCATCTCGACTAAAAATACAAAAAAAAACTAGCCGGCAGTGGTGGCAGGTGCCTGTAATTCCAGCTACTCAGGAGGCTGAGGCAGGAGAATTGTTTGAACCTGGGGAGGCAGAGGTTGCAGTGAGCTGAGATCGAACCACTGCGCTCCAGCCTGAGCAACACAGCAAGACTCCATCTCAAAAAAAAAAAAATTAATTAATTGGCCACACGTGGCTGTGGTAATGTGCTGTACAGCACAGATGTAGAACGTCAAGTGGAGCACCAAATAGCGGCTCAAGAAACGTTAACTCAGTTGGGTAAGCCACATAGTGCCTTACTAACATTACTGTTTATAGGTTCTAGTATTACTATTTACAGAGTTACAGGGTGCAATAAGAACACGCACGTCTTATATTCTCTGAACCCAAAACGCTAGCCCAGAACTCTGCCCACAAGGAGTGCTGAATAAGTATAATGACAAGGAAGGAAGTCAGGAAGAGACAAATACAAGATCCTTATAAAACACAATTCATTTTTAAACGTTCGACGTCTGTGACAGCACGGAACAATAACATGCAATACAATCGCATGCAATAACAAAAATCCTCATGCGCCGTTCCTGCCCCACTGCTGTTTTAACCTTCTTGCTGGAGGCAGTAACACTTACCAAGTCTCGTGGGTAAGGCGCAGACACAAGGGCTTTTATTAAGAAAAAAAACTCTTACCAGGGCTCACTACCTTTCACTTACCAATGTCCGGTTGGTTTTTCCTCCAGTTTCCTATTTCCAAAAGACGTCACCGCCCCCCAGCGCACACACACACACACACACACACACACGCACACGCACGCACACTGCGCCTCATTCGCCTCCAGAGGCAAACAGGTGCAACAAGCTCAGGCGCTTGGCTCACTGCAGCTCGCAGGATAAATGCCCCGCGCAGCTACCTGCGTTGCCCCGCCCGAGGCCAGACCCCGCACAAGGCTCAGAAAACCAAGCCGGGCGTGGGAGCGACGGATGATGCGGGACAGCGAAGGCAGGCATTAGCGGGTTCCTGAGGCTCCGAAGGCCGGATGGGGAAGTCGGAGGGTAGGTCTCAAAGCGGGCTTAAGTAGACCCGATGGAAATCGGGAGAGTTCTCAAAATCTCCCCAGGAAGCAGGCTGAGCCCTCCTGAATCCACCGGCCGAGCGGAGGACGCCCAGACCCCCGGCCTCGCACCTACTCCACCCGCTCCGCCCGTCCTCACTGCGGCCGGGGTCCGCAGGCAGCCCCAGGGGGCGGATTCGCTACCTGCGCGGTCAGGCCCTGCTCCTCGTCGTCCTGGCCGCTCAGGACCCGCCGCAGCTTCTCCATGGCCTAGTTCCCGGGCCGTAGCGCCAGCCACTCTATCGCCCGCCCCTGGCGCCCACCAGGAAACCCCGAACCCGAATCCCCACGCAGCGACCGAAGGTCTGCTCCGCCCACTTCCGGTGCGTCAGCGCGGCCTCAGCGGCCGCCGTAACAGTCTGCGCATGCTCGCCAGCCCTCTCCTCGGGCCTCTCGGTGGTCGGTGAAGCCTGGGGAGTGGGCGCTGACGGTAGGGGTGTCCCATCCCGTTGTCTGCGAGGTGCGCGGGGTGTGGGTCCCTTGCCTACAGCGGGCGCACGGCCATGAGTGTAGACCCGACTGGGGCACGACCATTGAGCCCTGCAGATCCATCTTGCCCCGGACCCCGCGAGGAGCCCCCCTGGGCGGGTCCGCGGCGCCCCAGGTTCCCAGAGCCAAGGCCCGGTATGCGTCCCCGCTCGGCTGGAATCGGGGAGCGGAGGGCGGCTGAGGGCAGGTGGCCGTGCTCCGACGAGCGCCCTGCCACCCACGAGGTTCCCTGGAGGCCGTGCCAGCTCTCCCAGCGGGGTCTCCTCATCCGGAGACACAAACACCTGCGCCCCACTATGAAAGAGGAGCTGTATTTCAGACCATCTCAGGAGGCTGCCTCGCTCCTTTGCCCTTGTGAGAGCTATTTCTTTTTTTTTTTGGAGATGGAGTCTCGCTTTGTGGCCCAGGCTGGAGTGCAGTGGCCTCTCGGCTCGCCGCAACCTCCCCCTCCCAGGTTCAAGTAATTCTCCTGCCTCAGCCTCCCAAGTAGCTGGTACTACAGGTGTGCGCCACCACACCTGTAATCCTAATTTTTTTTTTTTTTTTTTTTTGAGTCGGAGTTTCGCTCTTGTTACCCAGGCTGGAGTGCAATGGCACGATCTCGGCTCACCGCAACCTCCGCCTCCTGGGTTCAGGCAATTCTCCTGCCTCAGCCTCCTCAGTAGCTGGAATTACAGGCATGCACCACCATGCCCAGCTAATTTTTTGTATCTTTAGTAGAGGGGTTTTCACCATGTGTTGGTCAGGCTGGTTTCGAACCCCTAACCTTGTAATCCGCCTGCTTCAACCTTCCAGAGTGCTGCGATTACAGGCGTGCGCCACCGTGCCTGGCTGTGAGAGCTATTTCTTTATGCAGTTCACCCACCGGCTAAGAGTTTGAAAGAGTGTAATCTTACTTATAAAAGGAATAATTAATCCAACCCATCTTTCCAGTTTTGTGTAAACAGTGCAGACCATTGAACAAGTGTTTACTGTTCTCTGACTTGTGCTGGGTGAACAAACACTAACAAATGAAGAAGTGGCATCTTTCTATTGTTTTCCGCCCTGCTAAGAAAGGAGATTAAAAATCAGGGCTGCCTGTCTCATATGAGCTCCAGAGAAGCTTGGAGATTTTTATAAATATACCACTCCAAAGTCATTAAGTGATAGCTTTTGCTCTTCTATTTGCTTCTAGGTTTGGTAAGCTGGTAATGAGAATGTCTATTATTTTCTTTAACTGCTTTGCCCACTCCATTTTCTCCCTAAAATCTTTCCATTGAAAAGGTGGATATGGCCGGGCGCGGTGGCTCACGCCTATAATCCCGGCACTTTGGGAGGCCGAGGCGGGTGGATCACGAGGTCAAGAGATCGAGACCATCCTGGTCAACAAGGTGAAACCCCATCTCTACTAAAAATACAAAAATTAGCTGGGCATGGTGGTGTGTGCCTGTAGTCCCAGCTACTCGGGAGGCTGAGGCAGGAGAATTGCTTGAACCCAGGAGGCGGAGGTTGCGGTGAGCTGAGATCGTGCCATTGCACTCCAGTCTGGGTAACAACAGCGAAACTCCGTCTCAAAAAAGAAAAAGTGGATACCAAAAAAGTTTCATTGTTCATCCTACAGCCTCAGTAGAGATTTGATCTAAATTCATTTAGATAAAAGCAAATACCACAAGAACCCCGGGAAAGCAAGTCGTGCACTTCTTGTGATAAAACAGTCTAATGTTCAGCATCTTTTAGGCAGAAGATATTTCTATGTGGCCTAGTCATACTAACATGTGAAGTCTTATCCTTACGTCCTTAACTTTAAAAGGTTAGAAAGTAATTATATGACATCTATAGAATAATAAAACTCTATGCTTCTATTGAATAAAGCATAGAGTACATCTGTAAGTGTTATAGGAAAGGAGTTCAGATCGACACCCCAAAAGAGGGTTCTTGAATCTTGGGAAAGAAAGAATTCAGGGCCGGCCTGTAAAGTGAAAGCAAGTTTAGTAAGAAAGTAGGGGAACAGAAGAATGGCTACTCCACAGGCAGAGCAGCCCCGAGGGCTGCTGGTTGCCCATTTTTATGGTTATGTCTTGATGATATGCTAAAGAAGGGGTGGATTATTCATACCTTCCCTTTTCAGACAACATAGGGTAACTTCCTGCTGCCATGGTGTTTGTAAACTGTCATGGTGCTGATAGAAGTGTAGCAGTGAGGATGACTGATCAGGTTATCTTGGTTTTGGTGGGATTTGGCTGGTTTCTTTACTGCAGCCTGTTTCATCAGCAAGGTCTTTATGATCTGTATCTTGTGCCGACCTCCTATCTTATCCTGTGACTATTAAAATGCCTTCACCTTCAGGCTGGGTGCGGTGGCTCAAGCCTGTAATCCCAGCACTTTGGGAGGCCGAGGCGGGTGGATCACGAGGTCAAGAGATCGAGACCATCCTGGTCAACATGGTGAAACCCCGTCTCTACTAAAAATACAAAAAATTAGCTGGGCATGGTGGCGCGTGCCTGTAATCCCAGCTACTCAGGAGGCTGAGGCAGGAGAATTGCCTGAACCCAGGAGGAGGAGGTTGCGGTGAGCCGAGATCGTGCCATTGCACTCCAGCCTGGGTAACAAGAGCGAAACTCCGTCTCAAAAAAAAAAAAAAAAAATGCCTTTACCTTCTGGAAATGTAGCCCAGTAGGTCTTAGCCTCATCTTACCCAGCTGCTATTTAAAATGGGATTGCTTACCCAGCTGCTATTTAAAATGGGATTGCTCTGGTTCACATGCCTCTGACATAAGTGCTTCCAAGATTTTCAAGTATAATAACTAGTTGTCCACATGGAAAAAGATGAAATAAACTGACAACTCCAGTCATGGAAATACTGCTTTCCAAGGATAAATGAGGTTGAACTAAGGGCAGTTTCATTGGTTCAACCTGCACTTGGGTAAAGGAAATTTTACTTGGAAAATGCAGTGTTGAAATGGCCCCCAAGCACAGTGCTGAGGGGCTGTCTTGTGTCCTCAGCACAGGAAGACCATGACGTGCCTTAAGGGGAGAATACCTATGTTAGACAAGCTTCATTCAGGCAAGAGTTACAGTGCTATTGGCCATGAGTTCAGTGTTAATGAAGCAACACTATTAAATAAGGTGTCTGTAAATATCAACACACATAAAAACAAGGTTATGTATTGATCTATTGACAAAAATGTGGCCAGGGGCTTCAGGAACCTAACCTTGTATTTTCCCTGAAGGGCTGATTCAATGTTTATTAATTCAGTGTGTTTATAGTGACTTTATAGAACATAACTACCTGAGATAATGAGATGTGACTGTATATAGAAACACTAGGCTGAGGCCTAGCATAGGCCATGTGCTGAGTACACATTGGCTTTTGTAACGATAGTAACTATGGTTTCATCACATAAAGTTTTGGCTCTGGACCCATCTCCATTTACATCCTAGTAAATTAGTCATTACTCTATAGGGAAACCTGAAGTGGGCCTTTATCTCTTGCCTATCAACCTGGAAAAAACTCTTTTAAGAATCGTCTTACTTCTTTTCTTCCCTTCCTGCTTCCGGGCCACATATATTTTTCGAGAGCCAATGACTTTCTTGAACATAAGGCAGCCCCGGCACAAAACAAAAGGAGGTTCCAAGTGGAGAGGGACAAAGCATATTTCTCCTGTGCACAGCCTCGAGGGGCGGAGCATGTTTCTCCAGTGCACCGCCTCAAGGGACAGAGCATGTTTCTCCAGTGCACCACCCCGAGGGGCGGAGCATGTTTCTCCCAAGCATCTCCCATTCTGCTTTCTTCCAGTCCTGCCAGGGGAGGTGAATAACGAATGGACCATGGTCTCCACATCTGATGTTAGCCCTCCAAGCTCCTTCCCTTCACCTGACTTGCAGAGAAGCATACAGGTGGGAGGCGAGGAGACATTGAGAGATAAGAGCCCTGGTCGGGGAGGCAGAGGCCTGCCCGGGCACAGGAGGAGACTCTGGGAGCTGGGAATACCGCTCTTTTCTAGCACAAGCCCGGCCTACAGAAGTCTGCACCTGAGATGGGACACCATCCCATGACAGGAGCTGGCTCTGAGGAGCCCCCACACACAAACCACACTTCCCAACACAAACACCTAAATGGTGAAAGGGGTTTGGTTCCAGGAAGACTGCTTAGGAGAGGTGCATCACGAGAGATAGTAAAAGACCAATGATAAAATATTAGATTTATTCCAAACTCTTGCACTGTATACATACTTTGGTTTTTTTGTTTTTTTTTTTTGAGACCAGAGTGGGGGGGCGGGGGGCTTGCTCTTGTTGCCCAGGTGGGAGTGTGATGGTGTGAACGTGGCTCCCTGCAACCTCTCCCTCCTGGGTTCAAGTGATTCTCCCGCCTCAGCCTCCCAAGTAGCTGAGATTACAGGTGCCCGCCGCCACACCCGGCTAATTTTTACATTTTAGTAGAGACAGGGTTTCACCATGTTGGTCAGGCTGGTCTCTAACTCCTGACCTCAGGTGATCCATCTGCCTTGACCTCCCAATGTGCTGGGATTACAGGTGTGGGCCACCACGCCTGGCCCTTCTCTGGCTTCTTCCCATGACAGGAGCTGGCTCTAAGGGGACCCCACACACAAACCACACCCCCAACACAAACACTTGAATGACTAGTGAAAGGGTCTTGGTTCCAGGAAGACAGCTTAGGAGAGGAGTATCATGAGGGCATGTGGGAACCTTTCGCAAGGGCAATATTTTAAACATTTTGAAATGAAGGTAATTAATACAGAACCTGGACAGCACAGTTTTGCATTTCCTATCCCCGTCTGTAAGATTTCACACTGTGCTTGGTAGAAAACATTGAGTGCATCATTCTCATGTGACAGTTTAG